ATACGATCAAAAAGCAAGTCCTGGAGGAATTCGCTGTGGTGGTGAGGGCGAAATGCTGCCTCATTTCTAAGAGTAGCTAAATTTGCGAGTGAAATATTTCAATGCCGTCATCGCACTTTTGCAGTGGTTATCTGGTTGCTTTTTGGATTTAGCTCAAATCGTTTAAGCAGCAGAGCACGTTAAAAAGAAATTGTCTGAATGTAGCGCTTGTTTTGAATTTCTGGAAATAACAGTTCCTGAGGTTTGCATGGGTGAAGTGTACGTATTTGTGTGTGTTTGGGCAATGGTCAGAAGTAAAAGTGGTTTTACTCGAGCATTTCAGTCATACTTGTGCATCACACAATACGCGGGAAGTGTAACGACCATTAAATTTAGTTGCCGAGTTTTTTGGAGCACTTTTATTGAAGTCTACCAACAGCAAGTGCATTCTAATTGTGGTGCTCAATAAGAATGTGTAAGACTTTAAGGACCAAAACGTTCATGTTCAACTAATTCGTTGCAGTTTAATAGTTTTTCTTAAATTTCAGTATAATATAATTGAAATATACCTTTAAACCATCTGAGCTCTGAGTACTATTTAACGATCGCAGTTGTAATATTTTCATAAATTTTCCATTGAAGGGTAAAAGAATTTTTGGAAATGCTTTTCAATCGGAGTTTTGTTGAGTGGTGGTGGCTTGACACTGGTTATTTATTTCTGTTGTGCGCGTTATCTGCGAAGGTCTGCTGCAAAGGTAAATGAATTGTTGATCACTTAACATAACTGTGGTTTTTTCTAGCGCATTGTGGGAACCTGAGAGAGAGTTGCTTCAGCTATGGCTTCGGGTATTTTTGTACGGGGTTCCAGTTCTTCGAGGGATTCTCGATGCATTTCGCGGAAGGGCACAAACAATTGACAGAGGAATACTGCAAATGCAGCTGTCTTTCGGGATGGACGAAAAAGTGGACAGAGGACGAACTACAGCTGACTGACCATTTGGTGCTGCAGTTTTGGTCTTAGCTATATGAAAGTGCGATGGGGCATTGCCAGGACAGGATATCATGCGCAACGTAGTTTGACCGCACAGTTACGTGGAAATAGGTAGGGAGGGAACAAGGGAACATTGAAATGGCGTCGGTTTGCAGCGAGGGGGCTGATACTGTGAGATATGTTCCATGAAAATACGAAAATCCGGAATCATTTT